TGAGCCAAGTGACGGGTCACATTAATCAATTTGATCCCACATCTCTCAATCCAAAATTTAAAGTTAATGAATTTATTAAATATTTTTATAAATATGATTCTCACTTGATTTATTTCTAATCAATGTGAGACTTTCTAATCATATATAAATTATATTTCCTTCAAATCCCAAATTTTGAAGGATGTTTTTTTTTCCGTATGTGTTGGGGGCTTTAATAGTGAAATTTTGCAGCTTAGATTGTTAACAATTCCGACAAAATATCATTTCAAACTTAACTTTAAAAATACAAAATATAGGAAAAGAATTTATATAATATTTATGGATGCACACATCCCAAGGTAAGTATAGAATTTTTTATATATTATAAGGAGGTTTATATTAACAAAAATTTTATTTATAAATTACATTATATATTCCGGAACTTGAGAATATACACTCCAGAGTATATAGTATAGTTTGTAAATAAAAAATTTATAAATATAACTTATCACATATGCTATACATGGATTGAGAGAGAGAGAGAGAGAGATTTCTTGGTGCAGAGTTAAGGGGTTATTTTAGTCATATATGTGAAATTAGGAAAAAAAATGTAGGTACTGTAAATCTCAAGTTGATTCTTTTCTGAAAAGGAATATTTCGTTCTTGTATCAAGAACCAATTCAACATTTTTTTAACATGTTGGGTGATAGTTTTTTAATGGTTTATATTATTCTCTAACATACCTCTTCATGCAAGAGTCATTTGGGCTTGAAGTATAGATATTGCACAGGTCCAATTTTTTGATTTTATCATGTACTTATTTAATTCCACTTGAAAGTGGGGAGCGGTGAAGATCAAATTCATGATCTTATGGGCATTGATGCTCTGATACCATGTTAAGAACCAATTCAACCCAAAATCTTAATATATTAGATAATAGTTTTTTAATGATTTATATTATTGTCTAACAGTTTTTTTCTTTAATTATTGTATAAACTCTAATAAAATGATAAGAAAAATCCAAAACATATTACTCTATTTTACATTCACAAAACAGAGTAAAATGTATCAGCACTGATAGTTTAAGCCTTTTTACGAGAAGAAACAAATAAGTAAATTAGCTTTACAAATCAGTATCACATGGAGTGGCAGAAAACAAACATCGACAGAAAGCCCAAATCATTTAAGCATTCATGCTGCTGTTTTTATTTTTTCAAATATAGATTTTAAAAATATTCTATGAAGTACCGACACTTCAAAATTCCTGACGTGTCGTGTCTGATACTCACCGATACTCCGATACTTCCCGACACTCCAATACTTGTTGCAAAGACTCAAAAAAGATTCAAAGATTACGTTGCGTTGCATTTTGAGTTCTAACTATTAGATTCATTGGATTACGATTACTATTTTATTGAATTTAATATAAACATTTGAGATATCTTATGTTTCTTTGCAAAATTGATGGGTATTATAAGTTTAACTTTATTTTTTTATTAAATTATTGAATATTAAATATAATAGAAACTACATAAATTAAAAATATTATATAATATCAAAACGTGTTCTAACGTGTCAAAATTTAACATTTTTTAGAATTAATGTGTCGGAGTGTCGTGTCCTATCGTATCCCGTGTCTTGTGTCGGTGTAGGTGTCGGTGCAACATAGGTTGTTATAGGGATCATCTTTGGACAAATGACTCAAGGGATAAGAAACGCGGAAAAAAGGTGTGTCATTTTTTCTTGCAGTAATACAATTTTTTCTTGCAAAAATTACACTTAACAATATTTACAGGCATAAGAAAGAAATATCATTAAACCATGGGAAAAAAGGTGTGTCATTTTAAATGACAATCTTATACATTTCACTCTCACAAAGATGTGAGAGTGAGACTTGAAGGTATATCATCAGAAACGCGGAAGCGCATCGTACCGATGCGATGAAGGATAAAGACACCGCTTTGATTACCTGGGGCGAAGAAGCGAGCGTGACGATTTCTCACCTTCAGTTCTCCTTGTCAAGCCTCACGATCTTGCAGCAACGCACCACGAACGGTCACAATTCCGCTCTACGGTTGATCTTCCAGGCTATGACTCAAGGGGATCAGGGGTCGTGTGGGCAACCGTTCAAATGATGAATGTCTGCCTCTTTGGTTGTGTTTATGATGTTAGTAACCCTCGGAGGCACTAGAGAGAAAAGAGAGTTTATATACTCTGCGCAATCCAAAACTAACCCTAAGCTTCATGGGTTAAAATTGGACTTTGGGCTCACTCTCACTAAATCTATTGGACTTAAGTGAAAAGAGCATACTAAACCCAACAAGACTCTCATCTTTAAAACTTTTTTCACCTATTATCTCCTTCATGATTTATTTCTTTCTCACACTTAAAATGACACAACTTTATATCTTTCAAAATGATACACAATTTCCCTTTTAACCATTCTCATGTCGTATTCTTTGTTTTACTAATACTTATGAATGTCTGAGAGGATTTTATCATATAAAATTTACTAGGGATCTGCTAGTAACAAATTATACATAGAGAATTTATCGATGGAGTCACCGTTGGACTTGACTTCGCAATCCAATTACTCCAAAATAAGTACAGCATCTTTTGCTAGTGCTGATTATTTAAATCGACATGGACATGGTGATTGGTTAAAAGTTTATAATCTAAAATCCAAAAAAGAAAGTGTAATTTTTTAAGCCGGTTTAATCCGGTTCAATATTATCAAATCCTATATTGTGAGCAATTTTTCAAAGATCAATTTTTCATTAGGAGGACTCGTGTATTTTTTTTTCAAATAAGAAAGTGTATCTTTAACTTGCTATGAGAATTGGAAAATTATTAAACAAAGATATTATGAGAATTTCATACGTCCCAGGCCAAAGCTGTTATATTACATATGTGTATGGGTCCCCTTGCTATATTGAAAAATTAAAGAAGAATGGTAAACTTGGAGAGTAGTTTTATTTTATATTTTGTTATAAACTTTTTTTGGTCAGAAAGTGGGTTTGTTCAGCCTTTAAGATCTGATTGGACTACACTGTATGGGCATCGAATCCTTCATAGTACATATTGGATCATATCATATCGTCTTTTAGTAAAATGAGAACAGATAGTTCAGAGCTTTGTAAGGCCCAAAATGTCCATGTACCAAATCAATATTCCGGGGATTAGACGTAAATTGGAACGTTACGGGCCTTCCATTCAATTAATGGAAGAAACCTAGTTATCCATTCACTTTTTTTCTTTTTTTTTCTTCATAAAACAATGGAGTACTGACGACGAGGAATGTCCAACTAACTAATATTTGTTTAATTTTTTATTAGTAGGGTCGATGTTTTATTAAATAAATAAAAAATATTAAAGAAATTAGCAACATTATTTATGAATTTATTTTTTACTTATAGTTTAGTGTTGAAATTTAAGTATATGCATAAGTTAAATCTAAAATTTTATAAAACTTATGTCAAATTAAATTTTCTTAGATACTAAAATGAGATAATAAAAATTTAATATGAGTATTATAAATTTAACAACTATTTATAAACATAATTTAATACAAAACTAATCTACACTTACCACCAAACATATTGATCAATTTATAAGGGATTATTTTAACTTAACCAGTGATCTTAAATATGCAGTTGTGTTAAAAATTTGATAGGAAGAGTTTGTCGCCCTTGTTCAAATCTCAAAAAAAAAAAATTGCAATTGAAAAATAATTTTATGGACAAAATTACTAATTTGTTCATTAAATAAGTAATTTGAAGGTGAATAAGATCACACAGAGTTCACCTTTTAATTTTAAGGCTTTAACTGTTGATTCAACTATTGCAAGTAAGTAAAGTCCCTCCAAGTTACTACTTCTTCCAAGGTTCTAACTTTTGTTTTTTCTCTGTCATTATTATGGACTGCAAATGTGCATAAGCTTACACAAAGTTTAGCTTATGGAATCTTAAACGAGATTTAAAATGGCGTCAGGTTTGGAGTTTCAATTTAGGATTTTATAACAGTTATCTTGTAGGAAAAGTGATTGTGTAATGTTATAGAATTTCGTTTTGCGTGCCATAATTTTTTTTTTTTTTGCTTTAAAAAGTGTGAACACCACAAAATGTTGTGTGTGTAGAAATTTTTTTCTGATATGTTAAAAGACAAACTAAAACCCCGTAAATTTATACTTCTTGAACCAGAAATGGACAAAATGACAAGACAAACGAGTGTGGGAAAGGTGTTATGTAACCATCGGTATACAACTGTGCTTCGTTATTCAGGATCTGATGTGATTGCATAATGATAGATTGAAAAGATAATACCATAATGTTGGGCGAGAGATTATGTTCTTTCTCTTTCCCAGAGAGAGAGAGAGAATGTGGGGTTATATGGTGGGGCTACTCTGGTGACATACTACAAGAAACCGAAAATAAAAGGGTACACTTATTCAAAGTTTCACACTGTATTAAAAACCAATGCAAAATAAATTGAGAAATGGAAAGAAAAACATATCCATGAAAGAAATGAAAAACCCAAAATCTACAGCTGTAAGTGCATGTCCTTTAGTGGAGGCTTGTCCCTCACATCTGGTGTAATTTGTGGCCTTTTGCTGTTTCTAGGTTCTGGTTGTCTTATATATGATATATTTTCGGGTCTCAGGGTTCTAATGCTTATGCTTCTCCCTTCCAGCAATTATTATATAATCTTTGTTTTGTTGTTTGGATAGAGGCTCGTCAACCGAAGGAGAGGTGTTTCCTTTTTCGGGGCTCCTCCTTTTATTTACCCTCTGCATCTTTCTCATTTGTCTTTCTATGTTCCATCACTTCAACATAAAAAAATGTCTTAGCAATATATTGCTTCCTACTTGCTATTGTGTCATTTTGTTAGTGCTGTTTGCTACATCCTATATTATATATCCGTCCCTTCAGTTCTCAGATTCTCTTTCTTTGATCAGCTCTCTCTCTAACTCCATTCACTTTCAGTTTTCTACTTCCCCGGGCAACAGCAGAGTTGTATCTCAAATGGGGCGTGATCATCATGTCATTTGTGGTCAAAGACTCAGTTTTATTAGCATTTCTCTTCTTTTTCTGATAATTTCAAGCTGGACCCAGCTGGGATTTGTTACTGAAGGTACATGAACAATTTTAAAGATGCCAAATAGAAACCAGCTCCAACTAACAATGTCTTTTCTTTTGTTCTAACAGGTAGAAAGACTTTCAAACAGAATGGTTTTCACCAGGTAGAAAATTTGGCTTACCTTTATAATGTTTTCCTGTCTCGTTTAATTAGCATGAGTGATGAAGCACTTTAATTTTCTCAAGAACTATACTGATTTGTGCAGACACTACGTGATGATAAGGCGATGGTGAGGGCACAGATAGGCTCGAGGCCACCAAAATGTGAGAGAAGATGCAGGTCCTGTGGACACTGTGAGGCCATTCAGGTACCTACAAATCCACAAGCGCAGAAGGGGAAGATCAACCTTTCAACAGTGTCTATAATTGCTTATGACAGGGGAGAAGATAGTTCCAACTACAAGCCCATGAGTTGGAAGTGCAAATGTGGGAACCTTATTTTCAACCCCTGATTCCAATTGTCTCACAGTTTAGTTCTTTTAGATAATCAAGGATACCAATCAATTTGTTGATTTTGTATATGAATATACACTTCTAAGTAATTCTTCTTTTTTTTAGCCTTTTTTGTTCTTACCTCTAAATGTCCTCTCTCTGAGGAAAAGCTTTAATCTTATGCATGCTGTACCCCTAGAAACTATCCTCCATGTCTTTGTTGGAAATATTTAGAAGTATAACTTGCGGTTGCTAATCATTCAACATGTGACTTGCAAGTGTGCTACTTGAGGTGATGCCTCTGTTGCTCTATACAGATTCTGCCAGCTTAAAAATTAAAATGAGTGCCACTTTTATGTCCTTAAAATCTCAACCTTCATAGAGCAGCAAAGGTTACTTTCTTCTGTCCATCCTTTCTAACATTTTGACATGGAGGCTGGAGTGGAAATTTCTGTGTTATTACTTCTTTTATTCTTTTGAAAATATATGCATGAAATGAAAAATATTAGCATGGCCAACATAGGTGAGAAATCTCCACTATTAACATTTAATTGAGGATGAGGAGAAGACGTAGACACAATATTCGGTCATGAGTTGAAAAGGATTTAACTTAACATGGCCCCCATTTGTTTTCTTCGAGGATGCTCCACGTAAACGTGAGGTTAAAGAATACAATCAATCTTTTAATTTTTGAAAAACCAATGCCATGCAGTAATATCTGGTTTTTACTTTTTAGATTGAGACATCCTGTAGTCAGTACTCTGTAGCTAGAGCCACACTCTACAACATGCAATCAGAGGAAGCAACAAAAAATAAATTGACATGCTAACCACTGATTGTACTCTTAAAATCTCCTGTTTTTTTATAATATCCCTCAAAACGTGAAAGAGATTGATAGCTTGCTACTTGTCCTGAGCGAGTATCAGGTTGCTTTCAGATAGATTTTTCATCTGCATTGTCCCATTCCCCTGAATTGGAGTGAACAATCTATATATTACCCTGTAGTTGTGCAATGTGGATAACTATCTCCACCATCCACTACAAAACCTTTAGAACAAAACCTTAGTATACATGATATCAAGCAGTTTCTGATATAATGGTTGAATTTATTCACTTAAAAAAGAACTGAAACAAAAAATGAAAAAAAGAAAGAAAATTATGACATTAGAGTCTAAATTTTAGTAAATACTTAAGAAAACTGTAATTTTGCTGAATAAATATAACCACTAAAAAGAAAGTAGTAATGTAACAACGTTGAAAGTTTACAACTTTTGCCGGTAGAAATTGATTAAGCCATGTCAATGCAATGCCACTGTTTCACTCTCTACTATGTGCTGCACAACACGAATATCGCTATATATTGTGTGGGGTCAAATGGCAATAGGCACTGATAACTAGTCACTGAAGGGAAGCAGTGGATGATATATCCAGTGCTAAATTTCTTCTAATATCATAAGAAAATTGGCTGCAATATTTCCAATAATGTGCTGGTGAACTACTGTGTCCGTGAATACAGGGAGATGGTTAGTTGGAAAGAAACCCAATTGTGTGATTTCTATTCAAAATGACAAGACGATTTCAAGTCACTTGATGTAACACATTTCCCATCTTGAACCTGTTGATTGGGATACCAATAGTTACAAGGCACGAGATCAGCTGCTGTTTTGAGTAAAGCAAAATCTGAGGAATGTTTCACATGATTTCCGTTTCTCATTTTAGGTGTTGAAACGATGGAAGAAAACTGGCTTCTTTACAATCAGAGGCAGACATGTTTTTTTTTTTTTTAAAAAAAAAAACAAAGACAAAAAAAATTACTTTTTTTTTTCTCTTGAAACTTTTATTTGAACAAATTTTAGTACCAAGTTACCAACAGCCGCACTACCCGCTGGTATGGAAGGAATTAGAACGGGGAGGAGACAACTTAATAGAAAAGGTGTATGCATTATTATTACCTACAAGCTGCAGCAAACTTGAATTGTTTTTACACAGCCAAAAAATAAAATTATAAATAATAAAAGAAAAAAAAAACTTGTGTTTTAGACCGTTTAAAGTTTAGATAAGTTTGTCTTAATTATTTGTACTTTTAAAGAATATAAACTTATAATCTTTCATTCTTTTGTAATTATGTATCCAAGAAATACATAATTACGATATTAAAAAAAGATTCTCTCTTCAAAAACTTGTGGGATGACGTGGATAGAAAGAAAAAAAAAATAACTTTTATATTATAATTTTATTTTATAATATTAAAAAAAAAATCCATCTTTAAAAATCTTTTTGATAACGTGGAGAGAGAAAAAAAATACCTACTATAATTATAAATTTATAATTATATATCCACATAGACTTATAACTTTTAAAAAGACATACATTAACCCCTTAACATGAATTGAATTCAGGATTGATTGATTTGTGCAGATATGTTTTGCATAAATATAAGCTAGAACAGTATTGCGCTCCAAAAACCCATTTGTCGTGAAGCAAATTAGAACCTCATGTGCATAGTTTCTTTTCTATGAGCATAGCTTGTTGAAAAAGCACAACAAGCATTGACCTCTTGTAAATTTAAATGGATACGCAACTTTAAAAAATCATGTGGAGCATGACCATAAATGGGTCTCATTTGAGGAAGACAACATGAAAGAAGCTAATTTTATTACAGCCGTTGGTTGTACTTTAATTTGGTATTTGGACAATTTTTCTTCTCTGATTTAAGAGCCTTGAGGACAACAAGAAGGACTAATGATCAAATCAGTATAACATTTTATCCCAAAAGAGATCTTATAAAATTCTCTGATGCCGACGACAATGACTAGAGAAAGAACAGAACCTTTAGGTTAAAAGTTAAAGGCAGATCGAAACAACCCTTTCTGCCATTTTTTTAGTTTAACACTTGAAGCGATAAGCAAAATTTATGGTCAGTGACTTTAGATCAACATAAGGCACAATGAAAGAAGAATATGCGAGTACAGTCGATGGCAGCATTCACGTGAGGTTGTGAGAAGTGGAAGCAAGGAGCCCCACGAACATCCTATCTTAAACTCGAAAAGATAAAAGGGAATGTTGGTGCAAAGGTCAAGACAGACGCAACTGAAAAGCTTCTGGGACCACTGGAAGAAAATGAATTCCGAAATCCAATTCACAGACCTTTTTTCCTCAAGTTTTTTTGTGCTGTAAATATCAGCAACACGGTTTTGAAGTTGGCCCATCCCTGTGGCATGGACAAGCTGTACTGCGCTGAACTACACAACAGTCATACTCTAGTTCCCATCTTGATGCTGATGGGCCAGCGGCACCAGTGAGGGATAAAGCAAGATCATTCTATAACCCCTTTGTCAGGACATTTTCACCTTCCAATACCAATCTTTTTTGGAATTAACCCGGATGCATTTTGAAGACTTGGGCCTATGATATTATTTACAGTTCATTTGCTGTCTTATGTTATTCTCTTTTTCATTTTATTTACAATCATCAACCAAGCTCTTTATAAATCATCCTGAAAGCTGGGTTGAATCTAGCATGCCCAATTTGTTGAGGTCTTATCCAAAAATGATAACTCTTTCGGCTAGAATTAAGAAAGACTTAGTCTGTCACTAGTCCACTAGGCTGTTTTATCCTCCGTTGTTTTGTTTTTTTTGAGCAAATATCATTTTTAGTCTCTGACAATATCTACGAAGTCCTTTTCAGTCCCTAGCAATAAAAATGGACAAATTGGTTTTTGAAATAACAAAAAAGGGGCCACGTTGATCCTTCTGTTAACTCCCCCTTAACGGTCCAATTAACGGTGCCCATGTGGCACGTTAGTGTGCTGACGCGGCTTAGATGTGGGACAGCGTGGAAGAAGAGACGACGACGCTTTGTGCGAAATGGGTTGAGAGCTTTCCAAATTAGCAGACGATGTCGTTTCTTGCGTTTCAAATACTCATCAACTACACTGAAAGTTACCGTAGTTAGACATCCATATTTCACTTAAGTTTTTGCAACTTGCGAGGAACCCCATTGTTTACCTTTGAAGCTTCGTTGAACGGTGAGCATTGTCAAAGACGGTGGTTTCTGGTAAGACAATCGAGCGTGGACAGTGAAGGATTTGGAACGGCTGATTCTTTGGTGGTTAAGGAAAGTTCGATTGTGGGTGTTGTCTTACATGCACTAAGGTACGTGTTGTCAGAAGTCCTTCCATATATGTGGTCCCCCTTCACTACATGTTGTGTATTTTATGTTGGATATGGTCCCCCATGTGCAGTCCATTGTTTGTTTTTTGGTTAGGGTTTACAGAAAACAAACCCTTTTATGTCTGTGGTCCCGGTTTGAAAAGTTTTTTGGCATTTCGTAGTGCTTTGTAGACCCTGATGTTAGTCCCTATATTGCATGCATATTTTGTAAAGGTGACATATTTTTGCCAGTGACTTCCCTGTATGTTCTTCTTCAGTGTTGAGTTATATATGCAAATTCATATTGTCGTTAAAACTGATTGGTTGTTAACGTTGTGAAGTAAATGTCATGTGGTCTGTTTTTTTTTACAGATGGATGAATATATAGTTATAAGGTATCATGATGGGGGTGTGTTAGTCAGAGATGATGAAGGGGTCCTAACCTATGCAAATGGCAAAGTAGTTGATTTACCTGATATGGATGTTGACTTTGTCAACCTGCGTGACCTTGATACTCTGTTCAAGGGTTATGGGTATGAGAGTTGTAAGCAGATGTTGTGGCTCATGCCAAATGCAATGGATTTAGACGTAGGTTTAAGGCCTCTGAGTACGGACTCTGATATTGTGGAGATGGTTAAGGCTGCATTAAGTAATAGGAACTTCATAGAAATATATTTTGAAGATTGCATTGCAATCCCTGATATTATTGCACCTACACCTGTTGAAGGCAGTGATGGGGATGAGGATAATCAGCGTGAGTCATTTGGAAGTGGATCTGATCACATTCCTTGATCACTAATCTTCACATCTTGCTCTCTCATCATCATGTCCACATACTTCAACTTGAAATTAATTTCAGCAACATCCAACTCCATATTGTGAATTCTTGCATCTTCCAGCTCCA